TTTTGAATTTGAATTACATTTTAAAGAAATTAGAACTACATTTGGAAAAATTTGAACTACGTTTTGAAAAATCAGAACTTCATTTTGAAAAACTAGATCTACATTTTGAGAAATTTACGCCTACGTTTTAATAAATTAGACATTGAATTTTGCAATTACATTTTGATTTTAACATTGACTTTTGCTGCGTATGGCACACCATACCTCTCCTGGTCCTGATAACATTCCATACGGGCTTCTCAAGAAACTCCCATGTACTCATAATTTCATGGCAACCTTATTCAACAAAATAATGAACACTGGGATTCCACCCTCATCTTGGTCAACATGTCGAATATCTCTCATACATAAAAAGGGCGACACCCAAGACCCTGCCAATTTCCGTATGATCGCTTTGTCATCATGTATAGCAAAAGTGTTCCATCAGATTATCTCAATCAGGCCTTGAACGTTTTCTCGTGGACAATAAAATTATAAATCTTGAATTACAGAAAGCTTTTTTAAAGAACAAAAATGGATGCGTTGAACATAATATTGTCGTTCACGAAGTAATTAAACACGCTAAAGCTAATTCTCGCACTGTACATTTTACCTGGTTCGACCTGGAAGATGCCTTTGGATCCGTCCCACATGACCTCATAACATTTTCCCTAAATAGATGTGGTATTGACCCTAATGCCAATCATTATATAACGAATCTTTATTCTAATATTTCGGGAAAAATTGTAACTAAACAGTGGTCATCTAACTATTTCTCTTTTAACAAAGGCATCTTCCAGGGCGATCCACTCTCACCACTTATCTTTAATTCTCCTTTGCTTTGACCCTGTCATCCAGTACATTGAATCAGAGCTTTCCCACGGGTACAACATTGATGGTACAAGAATAATAACAGCACCCTCTGCAGACGACTTCTGTCTGATTTCAACGAACAAGCGTACTCATCAACGAATTATATCTAAGATACAGTCCTATACAAGAACAATGGGTCTCAAACTTAAACCAAATAAGTGCAGATCACTGTCTATTACCCGTGGGAAAGCTACGAATATTCCCTTCAGATTGGCTGACACCACTATCACATCAGTCGAAGGCGAAAGTCATAAATACCTGGGTTAATTGATCACATTTAGAAATAAAGATTCTGATGTGTTCGAATACCTAGAGGAAAAGATCAGTGAAGGTGTCGAAAAAATTGATAGCTCTCCAATCCGTTGTGAATACAAGATTCGAATCTATGCCCAATATTTCCTTAATAGCCTCAAATACCATCTAACTATCATCGATGTGTGTGCATCCCATCTTCAAAATCTTGATGCTTTAACCAATCGGTACATCAAGAAGTGGTTTGGCATCCCACATCCTGGCACACTGGGCTTTCGTCAAAATGCCTAAAGGACTGGGCATAGATTCGATTTCTTCTTTGTATAAAGAGTGTCACCTCACTGCTCATATCTCCTCGAGATTGAAAGGTGATCAAACCGTTAACAAATGTGTCGACAGTCGAATCGCTCATGGACCAAAAAGATCTCTATCTCGAGGGAATGTGAGCAAAGGTTTATCGAAGCAAAGGAGAAAGATCCTGAAGCCTCTCTTACAATTTTAAAAAATAATGCCAAAAAGAAATTAAAGAATGAGATGCAAACGATGTGGAACGACCACGTGAAAGGACTCCTGGTCCAGGGACGTTTCTTTGACCTTCTTTTACTGGAACAGTCATGCCACCATTGGAAGAGTATAATTTATAATCTTCCAGTGGGTGTGTTAAAGTTCCTCGTAAATTCTCTTGGCGACACCCTTAACACACGCACTAACTTAAAACGTTGGGGCAAACTCACCTTCGATTTGTGTAAGGCATGTGGAAATCGCGAGACTTTACACCACGTCCTTAACAATTGTAAACAGTCCCTAGACCAGGGCCGACTCACGTGGAGACATAATAATATTTTAAATTATATTATTAATAATATTTTAACGAAAGGCTTTGACGAAACGAGCAACCCTCCAAAAATGAAATCTGATCTCGAGGCCGGAGTCACTAATCATAACACCCGTTCAACCATCCCCTTGAAGTGTGCAATGACAACTCTGATCCCAGACCTCTGTCTGTTATGGAAGGAATTAAAAAAACTCGTCATTTTTCGAGTTGACGGTTCCTTTCGAACTGGGTATTGAGGCGGCCCATTCTCGGAAATATAACAAGTATGCACCTCTGATTAGGGACATTAGTGATTCCGATTATGATGTCCAACTGATTTGCTTTGAGGTGGGTTCTCGTGGATATATTTCTCCCCGCAATATAAAAGCAATTAAAACAATTTAAAAAATGTGCAATAATCCAATTAATTTAAAAAAATTCCGTGACAATATTTCTAAACTTGCCATAATCTCTTCCTTTAGTATATATTATGCGAAAAACGAACCATCCTGGATTAATCCTCCACGTCTTATAACTGACTAAAATAGGATTGTTATAATTTCTTATAGGTATATTTTAAATTACTGATTTTTGTCATTTTCTCATTGTTGTTCTCTGTTTCTCCTTGTGTGTGCCTCATCTGGGCCATGATCTAGGATTGTATTTTACATTACCTTATTGTTGTTTTGCAATAAAGTGATATTAAATAATGAATTGCAATGTGTTTTTTTTTTTAAAATCAGACATAGTAAAATGATGTAACAATATGAAATATTTTGCATATAAGGCTTAGTCATGAGAAAATTAAAACAACCAACTCACTGTACTTCTTTCAATACTGATCGATTCAGAAGCAACATGCTTAGTAAATTTTAAATATTTAGAACCTTCCAACTATCGTAGGATTATTATTAAAAAGCACAATAAAAAAAAACATTTTCATCGTCATTGGGGCCAATTGTAATACATTGAGAAACATACAGCTGCACGTTGCAGGTTTCAAATGAACGCAACCAACTCACTGTATTTCTTTCAATATTTATCGATTTAGAAGGAAGCAACATGCTCATTAAATTTTAATTATTGAAAACCTTCCAATTATCATAGGATTATACAAATTAAAAAGCACTATAAAAACATTTTCATCGTTAGAGGGGCCTATAATTGTAATACGTTGCACGTTTAGCAGGGTAATCATTCAGACTCAGTCGTTAAAAAGCACACTCCAACAATATTTTAATCCTAATAAAATTATTAATGTGTTCTGCAAATTTCCTTACCATTTTTAAAGGTTAATGTTTCACTTCTTACCTTACCCTAATTAACTTCTTCGGGTCATGTGTCGCATAGGCCTCAACAGAATGCATCCATCTATCCTTGTTGGCTGTTGTAACTCTAGCTGCTCCACCCTCTCCCACCCCACTATGATTGATCTTTTTCAGCATTCGTCTCCATGTTAGTTTTGGTCTTCCTCGTCTTTGCTTTCCTTCCGGTGCTCATGTCAATGCAATGTGGCAGTCATTCCCTTGCTCTTTTGTTTGTCTAGTGTTTCATTTTTAGGTAAATGTAATTGTTTACGTACCTACAAGATTGGGTCTTCACATTTAAATGTCAAATGAACTTATTAAAATATGTAAGCCTACTACTTCTTGAAAATAGAAGTAAACAGCAACATAATAATCTGTTGTGAGTTTTTATTTTACATATCTGTGCTGAAAATTAGAAAAAAGACGGAACATGTGAATATATAAAATAATACATAATACAGGC